TATTAGAATCCCACATTGTTTAGGAAAATATAAATAATCCACTTAATAAGGTGAGGGCAATCCTCCCCTAATAAGCCGGTTTTATTAGGTGGAGTTAGGCCCAATATTCCTAACAATGATCAACCATAGGTCGACAATTGACATGGACGAATTATTAAGGCTCCGTTTGGGAGCCATTCTTCTTCAAATAATACATTTTATCTTTCACATCAAGTGGGGTCCATGGAGAATGTGTAGTTGAAAAAGAAGGAAAAGTTATTGATGTGCTGGAAAATATTATTTTATTGAAGAATGTGTGGTTAAAAATGAGTAGAAGAATGAGAATGAAAATTTTAATGGTTACCAAACAGAGGCTAAAAATTATTTACATGACGAGAAATTAATTACTAAAAAATAAGCTTTGACAACTTCAATTGGTTTGATAGTGTAGTTTTGAAGATAGTGGATATAATCGAAACTAATTAATTAATCTTGAATGGTCAAGAGTTGATCCATACAAGAAGTAATTAATTAAGCTTAAACCAATTGTGTCCGACCGGCCACTTCGATGGCTTTGAAATAAGAATTGAGGCTAAATTATAAGAATATCTAGAATCAATATGGACAAATTATGTGCCATGGTGGTGTCTTTGTATCGAATCCCATCAAGTACTTGTTTATTATACACTACATTGTAGCACATATATTATACGTTACAACTACTTTGAAACTCACTTTAAAGCCTATTCACCTACTCATACTGATCCAAAAGGAGAGGAAAGAACACAAAAGGCGTGGATTCAATGGATTTTGCTTGAAAGCCCGATGAAAGAGGAGGCAAAACTACACTTCCTACACATTTACTTAACTACACACTCTAAGCTTATTCATCACAAAGGTATCTGTCTATATAATAGTACATAGTATCATATTTATATAGTTTTGGATGGCGGGTACTAGGACTCGTGTTCATTTCTGATGTGTTTCTGGGCAAAAATTAGCAAAATGAGAAGATTCGGAAGCTATATAAAATGGTTGGAGAGGCAAAAATTAGAAAAATAAAAAGATTCTAGAGCTAGAAAAATTGTACAAAAACTAAAAGAAGTTAGCTAGACGTGGTTTTACCTCTGCTTTGAGCTTCTCATTCTCCTTGAGAATGGAGTCATAATTGGACAAAAGGGACTCATACGAGGATTTGAGTTGATTGATCGTAATTCCTTTCAAGGTGTTTGTTCTTCCACAGTTGGTTCTGGAATCATACCGCAACTTGTAGAGGTTGCAATCCCAAATTTCTAATTAAAAAGGGACTCAAAGTGACTATGTTTATACAATTTTTTTACACTTAAAATTTGAGTCATTTTCATTTAAAAGTGACATAGCATGTTGTGCTATTTTATTAAATTTTACATTTTCTCATTGTTCAATATGTATTTTTTGCAATTGGGACTTATTCTTTCAATGTATCTGACAATTTGTGGCATTAAAATGCCCCAACTTCTGCAACTGTTGTGAATTTTGCTAATGGAAATTACATATCTAATAAATGTGTGTAATGCCATCAGCTTAACCCATAAGTACTTTGCAAATATGCTCTCAATTTTTCACTTACAATCTTAGGAGGCTTGAGTATATGTATGAGGTACACTGGCATGGACAAGAGCACATAGTGTAATTTTTGCTCCTGTGGATGGAATTTATTTACCCAGTCAGTTGATTTTCCTATAATTTTGTTTAATTCCTGTAATCTTGTTTAATAAGTCATCATAGAGGATGCCCTTCTTAGAACCTTTATATGCATAGGAACACCTAAATATGTAATGATATCTGTGATGTTTAAGTTAAGAGATACACCTTTAAGAACAGTGGGGGTGACAATTTTTATAAGGATGAAGACCCTTTAATTTTTATTATGTGTAGCTATCCATTTTTATTAAACGAATTTAATAATGTCATCGGCAAATTTCCTCGACTGTAGCTACACATTTCACCTAGACACTAAATACTTCAAGGATTTTTTTTTTAAATGTACATATTTTTTTAACATAATTAAAACAGGGAGACAGCTATCTCCATGAGATTGGCTGCTGCCAAAAACTGTTTTGACAACAGCCAATCACAATCTCCCCTCTATTAATTTGGTCTCAAAAATTCTGTACGTATAGCAAAATTCATATTTCAGTTGGAATTTTATTTACCACTATAGAATTCGACAGATGTATAAGTTCAAGCTATACCTTCCATTAGCTAATTTGCTGAAATAATTCTTCGTTTTTATACCAACTGATCGATATGAAACAAAAGTTTGTAATGCACTTAATTTGGTTTCCATATTTGTATCACTAGAATCTGAATTTGTTGTGTGTTGGGTAAAATTAATTAGATGCATTGATGGAAACTACCCAACCTAAGAAGATAATTCTTGTCAGTGAAGTGACCACCATACCTGGATGGTCACCGCTTTTCTATAATGTCAAAGTTGTGTGAATAAAGCAATTGTAGAAGGGTAATCCTAGTAGTACATTACCACTAACACAAGGGTCTATATAATGGACACTGACGCTCTTTCATTAGAGGGAGGGTTGGTGCTTGGTGGGATTGGCACTCCCTCCAATGAGAGGGTGCCGGGTGTCCATTTTGGACACTTTGATGTACAAGGTGATGTACAACAAGAATTATCCGGCATTAATACATGGATCATTGCTAGAGAGTACATTATGAAGCAAAGAAACTACGTCACGTGATACCTCTGCAAACCAACGTACCTTTTCAGTCAAATCTAATGCTCCGCTTATGATAGTAGTCTCATCATGAGTGAGTTCACCTCCTTTCCCAGCCTATGGTGTAAGTTAAAACAATAAATTGCATTATATATCAAAATGAATAATCACCGGATAGATATTTTACTTGTCAATATATGCTCCGGTTATAATTGTAAACCATGCATCGTAAAAATATATATTCACTTTCGAATTCGGGGGAATACCTCCTGGCTGTGGATAGAAACGAGTGCTTTCAACTGAGGTCGCCTAAACAAAGCATCATTGTGCCCCAAGATGGCATCCAGAATCTGAACCGCGTGAATTTATCAAGCTTAGTAATGTGACAGATTAAACCCCAAACCCTATCCTGATAGCAATGATGAAATATAGGAAAATATTGAAACACACAAAATACAAATATTTATAGTGGTTCAGCCTAAATGTAAGATCTAAATCTTTTCATCATGTGTTTGTTTATTAGTACTTTAAGTGCTTATAAGCAATAGGTTCCACGGAATGGGGGATAATAAATGGGTATAAGCCATGGGTTCCACAAAATGTGTGGATAAAAATTATGTTTGACAAGCTTAAATAAGCATAATTTAAGCTTTATCGAACATGCTCAATTACGAACTTTTCATCATACCTCCCTGTCTTCTCACATACTGCCTCCTTTAGACTCCTATTTTATATAGTAAGAAACTGGGTCAATCTATGGTCAAAGGGATAAGTGTACATTATAATTAAGACTCCACACATTGGAACAAGTAATCTTCAGCAAATCTTATTTTGAAATCTTGACACCATAAACTCCATCCACATTATTGCACCTGACTAAACAAAGAGCATCCTATACTTCACAATTGACAGTAAAATGAGGGAAAAAATCACTTTCTATGTAAAACTTACTTTTCCAATAGGGTAAGCAATAGGACAACAAATTATCATCAAGATTCGCACAAGCCACACTAAATTTGCACCCACGGCAAGCCCGTACTTAGAGCATATTGCTTGTGGAATAATCTATTCGCCACAATTAAACACAAGAAGTCAATTGCAGTTTAATGTAGCATTTACATATGGTCAATCATATCGGAAAACTGTACCTCACCGAATGCAAGAACAAAAGTTACTGAGAGGATGACAGCAACAACGGGGTGAAACAGTTTATCTAGATATATTGGAAGAGCCTGCAGAGAGCATTGTCATAAATGCAATAAATTTTTCAAATTATGTCTGCATTATTTGAATATCGAGATAGAAGCAAGCCATCTTTTGGTACGTATTACTGGATAGTAGGATAACATGAAATATTTTAACTAGTTTTTCATATTCAGAAATCCCAAAACTTGAAACTCGAAAACTTTTTTAACACTTTCAAAACATTTATCATATAATTAATAATTTGTATAAAAATTAAATGACTAAATAAGAAAAACATCTCACCTCCATTGCAGCAGCATTGCACAACAGCAGAGTCACAAGAAGTTGGTGCTGCTTTTGAACAACCGGCAAAATAATTGCTACATAAAATAAAATAAAAAATTAGTCTTTCCCAAAATTAAAATTCACAACAAGAAGTAATTAATCAAAACAATTTGAAAAATCACAAAATGGGAAAATTTTCTTACTGTACCTGCTTGTTTCTTTTCCGTGGAGGTGCCACTCCGCTGGAGAATTTCGAGTTCGACAAGTCCGAGGGACATCAAGCCCAACGTCAGCCCGGACATTATGCCGGCGAAGATTACGAGGAAACACGAAACTCCAGCGTAAACGAACCACCATGGATTACCGAATTCAATGTCCTCAGAATCCAGATAAAAAGCACTTGTTAAAATCCCAGCTATAGCCACCGCATTCATCGACAAATCCCTCATCAAAACCCAACAATTCTTTTCTGGGTTGAGCACCTTTTTTCTCAGTCGGTATAGAAAGGTATATACACTTTCTCTATCTCTTTCTCTTGAATGTTCACTATTCTACAAGTATAACATATCTCTGTGAACCGTTATCTCAATTTAGTCGAATTTTTTTGGTAAATAGAGTGGTGTGACGTCCGTTGCAGTGATAAAGACAAAGAAATCAATGAGGTGTAGCGAGTTCATGGAGCGGCTGTATCTTCTGGTAGCGACTTGGACACTGTACAAATATTGAATTTCAAGGTTTTATATGGACCGTTGACGTCGGTAGAGATACTGTGATAGAAGAATCTGATTTCAGATCGAACGGTGGAATAGACATCTCGGGGGTGAGTGGAGTTGAGTGGGGTTCTATTCGAAGAAGGTGACAGCCGATTATGTTACTCGCAAATATAAACGGCATTAATAATTATTCTTTCCCGTAAATATTTAATTTTGTTGTCGTTTGTGGTTCATATTTGGTACTGAATATTGATTAATAACGTACAAAGTTTTAATTTTTCTTTATTTTTTAATTTTATTCAATACGATTCAATCTGTCTCATTAAACGCATTTTAATTTCTCTTTATTTTTTTAATATTGTTCAATCTATTTCGAGACGAAATTCTCATCAACCCATGCGTTGGTGGCGCTATGGATGCTTAGCACAAGTTAATGTCCACATAATACAATGAATATTTTCTTTCGAGTGAGATTAAATAGCATTACTCTCATAAAAAAGAGGGACATAATAAAGAATTAATTATTTTACACATTGAAAATGACATGTATTAGTTAATTGATAGAAGCACTTGTGTAGTTGATTGTGTTTCTAGTATCAAATTCTTGTTGAATAAAGGGAACAAGTGATAGCTTAATATCAACTTTCGAAGAATGTTGAAATAATTGTTATGCATGTGATGCGAATCTAAATAACCCTATTTAGTGAAGATTAAAATCAGTTTTTTAGTAGATTTTGGTAGAAATTGATGAAATGTGTGGTTGAAAAAATGTATGACCCATAAAATATGTGGTTAAAATTAAATATTGATTTTGAATTAAATAAAAATCTAAATTTTAACAGATACCAAATAGGGGTTAAGATTGTGCAAGTAATTAGCCTTGTGTGAATCATGTCAAAATTTGGTGTTGGCGCGTAAGGCACGTGGCCAATCTTTGATGGGAAACAGTTGTCGCCCCCTGTGGCGAGTGGTGTTTCTTTTTAAGAATTATCTACTTGTACATCAAAAGATGTATACAAAGGATTACACCCCCTCACATGGGAGGTGGGACCCGCTTGAATAATATTTTTTTATTAAAGTGGGTCCTACCCCCATGTGAGAGAGGTGTAACCCCTGTGTACACATTGATGTACCGGTAGCAAAACCCTTCTTTTTATCCGTAGTCTTCCAATTCAAAGCCAAATTGTAGGTACTTGTACACTTGTGTGTATCATTCTTAGATAACTTTTTGAATAATCAAATAGAGAGAATACTAGAAGAATCATAATTATAAAACCCGATCAAGCCCAACTAGTCGGACTGGAAAATTGATGACGGACTATGGATAGGGATTGTATCCATATCGTACAAATCGTTGATGATGGAGAGGGATTGTTAAGACGAAATGGGACTAAGGTTTTCCAACTGATTTTTCAATGGATTCGTAACGAGGCATCACTGTAATGGAGAAAAAAGAATCCTACTTTCAATTTATAAGATCATTATAGCGTGGAAATTTCAAAGAAGAGTAGTAACTTTCGAACGTGCTCTTAACTACGTTTGTGAGGCATTCAAGGAACTTGATATGCTGGATTCGAAATGGAATGCTGAGAGGGGAGCAAGGCAAAGAGTTGGTTGAACGTGTTGCATTAGATACAGGCAAATGTCGGGCATTTGAGGTTTACAAGAGAAGTGATTCACAAGGACATTGAACTCATAGCATGACACGTGTCATGGTTTTTATTGCAATGTATGGGACCTGGATTCAAGATCGAAAGCATGGAATCTTGGTGTATAGCTTGGACTCTCCAATTTCAACAATTAGATTTTAAGGTATGATTATCTTAAGATATATTATAATTAAGATAGTATTAGAGCAGGCACCACATCTCTCGGTTGTAATCGAGCTACGAAAATGGTTACGCTAGACTTGGCATAGCAATATTCATTACACGACTCATGAGCTAGTGCAAAGTCAGTTCGATGTGGATATCGGGATCACAAAGTATGGTGGTTTATCATGGTTTTCATTACAAGATATGTGACTTAGATCCCTCATAGAAATCGTGGGAATTTAATGTGTGATAATATAAAATTAGACTCTTCAATTTCAAGGGTTAGCTTTTGACGTACGACTCTCTCGCGATCTATTACAACATCACATTCGTGGTGAGGAGGTAAGCTCCACGATAACTTGGAGGTAAATATCATAATTCGTACATACATTTCTTGTGAACCTTGTTCGCAAAATCGTTTATAGAAAGCCGTTGTTGGATGCCACATTTAATTTTTGGATTAATCCATTTGTACATAATAGTTTGTACATAATAGATTATCCACTCTCACATAATACGCGGGGACCCCCGTGTATTTAAAAATTTCAACAATGTGGTCATCATCTCCATTGTGAATCGTAGGTAAAAGATTCAGTAAAAAAATTCGATACATGTAGCATAATCTTTAATTCTTTATGCTCCTCTTTCCTAGTTATAAAGGAAAAATTGTCCAGCTGGTTGAATCCAGCCTACTCTTGGATGCCCTATTTAATTCTTTATGCTCCTAACATTTATAGTAATCTATCTCTTGGGACTAGAATTCATTTCAGAAGGTATAAAGTTGAAACCAGATGCTGATGCACTTCTTTTAATATTTAGTGCTTGTTTGGTGGAGATTTTTGAGGAAAGAATTGATTTTTGAATAGTGATATGATGGGAAATGTGTGAATAAAAAAGAAAAAAAAATTATTGATGTGATAGAAAATATTATTTTATTGAAGAATGTGTGGTTGAAAATGAGAACTGATTTACTGTAGAATTTGAGAATTAATAACAAACATGCCCTTAATAGATACTTTTCTACTAACAAAATTTAATTTTCTATTTCTAGAAAAGTAACTTTTTATTTTTACTTTTTTAAATTTCAGCCACACATGTTCCTAGTGGGGCTTTCAGATGTACAGATGATTTGTTCACAGGGGCATGTAATCACAAGTGGCCGGGCCCCACATGTATCAAAAAAATTGTGCGGACCCCACACCATGGGTGTTGTGTGTACAATATCCGTGAAAAAAAAAAAATTCTGTACACTAAGGGGGTTCCTTCAGATTGTCAGTTTGGCATTGCAGCACAAAACTGAGAACAACTAACTTGACCAAACAAGATTACTTCACAGAAAGTGAATGATGAATACTTAATTTTTTTTTTTTTAGCCTACTATTCAACTATCATTAGTGAAATCACTCTCTTTTAGTTCATTTCATCAACCTAAAAATCACCTAAATAAGCAACATGTAAAGCTTATGCATGAACAGGTATATAAGAAGCTGCAGGAACGGATTATTTAGTAGCTAACTCTATTTTTACGGCATTTTTTGTGAAAATTGGACAACCATGAATCGAGCCATCTCCCTCAAATTTATACTCTGTTCTGTACTTCTTGTACTGTATCCCAGGACAGAAAGCCAGTGGGTGCCAAGGCCACCTACCTTACCAATTAACCCCCCTCCACTTTGTGCATCCCAGTATGCACTAGTAAGTCATGCCTGTGCAACATTGCCATTCACCGCGCTGCCTCCACCTTCTCGTCTGTCATCATCTTCTCAGTCCGATCATTCAAGTCATAGGCATCGGCACAGACATGAACACAGACACCAGAGGAACGGACATAAGGAAGCAGGTGGAGAAAATGATTGTTGCCGGTGGTTAAGAGAACTCGATAATGTTTGTGTTTGTGATCTTCTCACGCACTTGCCCCCGTTCCTTATTAGGCCTGTACACAATTACACTGTCATCGTTGATGAAACATGCAATGTGACTTTCCAGTGCGGGTCAAGTTGGGTTAGGGTCTGAATTTTATTAGAGAGAGGAAGTTAATTCCTGTGATTTACTATATGTGTGTTTTAACTTTTTAAAGTTAATTTTATGTTTGTCTACTTAGTTTCTGTCTAAATGTTTTAACAGAAGAAATCAACCTCCTTCTTTTCCTCTGTCGAACATTATTTTACACGTTTTCTATGTGGAAAACGCGATAACTGAAGTATCTTTTTTTTTATTTTTTTATTTTTTTGGCATATCAGACATTTTGGAATGGGATATTCTGAAACATATCTTTTCAGTGTGGATCAAGTTAAATGTAGGTTCGAATTTCACCAGAGAGCAGAAGTTAAATTCCTACGATCTACCTTACGAGTGTTTTTAAAAGTTTTAAAGTTCATGTCATGTTCGTTCTCCTAGTTTCTCTCTACATATGTAAAAAATCAACTTCCTATGTCCTCTGTCAAACATAAAATTTATGCGGTTTCTACGTGAAAAGCAATAACTACAGTATCATTCTTCTATTTCTTACAGACATCTTTGATCGGTACATCAAAAATTACGTTAGTATTCTCATTGCTTATTACTTTGTTGTTGCTGTAAGTTTGGTAATGGCAGGTTTTACTTTCGTTGATACCTAACATAATGTATGAGAGAAAAGTCGCATTATGTATCCCAGTTGAGATTGTGTAAATTTTTTGAACAATGAACAACCTGCTCAAAATGTCAAACATATATGTCAACGAGCCGAGCTTGAGCCGAAAAAAAAGCTCGGGCTCGGCTCGAGCTTTTTTAGGCAAAGCTTTTTTGGGTCCGAGCCGAGNCGAGCCCGGACTGAGCAGTTCGGGTTTTTTTTTAATGTCAAATCTACATTTTTACTTAAAAAATTTAAAATTTGTACGGTTTATACGTACTATAAATTAAATAAAAAAGCTCGGGCTCGGTTCGAGGTCCCGAGCTTTTTTGGGCCCGAGCCAAGCCGAGTAAAGCCCGGCCAAAAAAATGAGGCTCGTCCCGAGCCCGGCTCGAGCTTTCTCCGAGCCGCCCGAGCTGGCGAGCTTTTTTGCCATCCATATATACGCTTGGATCTTCAAAATTAAGAGTAATTGTTAATATAAGATACAATTAAGTCCCTGTTTGGTATAGATTATTTAAAACTCATTCCAACCACATGTTAGTTAACCTTAAATTTATCGAGAAAAAGTCTCAATTTGTTTTGACGGTGGAGAATAAAAGATAATTTTTTTTTTGATGATAGTTACTAAATAACTATCAAGAATCAAGAAAGTGATTGGTTATCAGACTTTATTTCATCTTTAGAATAATATTAGTCCTTCAAACCTATCCCCTGGTGTTTAAAGTTGACATTTTTTATGCTCTCAGTTATCTCTAAACTTACATCCGCCGCGTTTCTCATTTCCATAACTTTGCATCTTCTGCATGATCTTAGAAAACAGTAAAAATCAAATAATTGCATAATCCTCTAATAATGATGCAATAAAATTCGAAAAGTGATCGACATCCATAATCTGTTAATCTGCAGCGTTACAGTACTATGATTAGGACAAAATATTATTGTGACGATTACAAGTTGTTTATAATATCAGTCACTACGATTATTGATAGTGCTCGTAATATTTGTTCGATACTGTTCTTTGTCGGTCGCGAGTGACATCATTAGCTGATCATTCTTTGTGTCCTTACATAAACTTTTTGGTGTAAATAGGATAATTGTTGTTCCTTTCTGTCGACTTCAGTATTAAACGCAAGGAGTGGTGAAAAGTATTTATGGAGCCGACAGCGAGTTAATTTGCGCTTACAAAATCTACCCCGTCTCAAACTCGCAAAAACTAATGTAGGAAAACTAATTTTATGGAGGTGTGGTTGGCAAGTTAAACATAAGCTTAAGAATTCTTGAAATCCAGTGCATATCGGAAAAGCTCTCACTGCTACGATTTGAAAGCGTATCCAAAGCCAAAAAACCAATGAAAAAAAGGTTCCAAAACTGTATTAAAGACTCAATTTGTCTCACCTACAGCATCAGGTCTCAATTATTTGAGAAACTTGTGCAGATTATGTGTTAGTTGCAGCAGCTGCCACTTCTCTCATTCCCATCAGATTACAATAAACAGGAGGGTGAAAATTGTACAAGAATTGACTAACTATTTGAGTACTCAGCCCCGCCACCAGATTCTCCCACGCTTCATCGGCTTCTCTGCCCCGTTTCCTAAACACATCGGTGGCATCAAGCCGGTGTATCTTCCACCCCTTAAGATTTTTCAGACGATATATTTTCGCCCGCTGGCGATCTGCTAATTTGCTCGTATTGATTTTGATCGCATTTATTGCCTCTTCGAGTAGTCTAGCACAGGTTTCTTCATCTGAGATTAATGATTCACTCTGGAAATAATGATGAAGTTCAGGAACTCCAATTGCTCTTCTGATCCCTCTTGAATAGTCTGCATTTTCATTGAACATGTTTCTTACCTCATTTATCATTCCCCTTTCCACCATCCGATCAACGCGATGTGACAGATATGAGTTCAACACGGGCATTGATACATCCACCCAAAGAAAACAACATTCATATTTGGATCGAAATTCGTGTTCTTTAACATCAATTAATGCCTCGATGAAGGAATTCGACCCTCCAACTATGATTGGAAGCTGTCCACGGCTAACTATAGAGTTCACGGCGGTAGAAGCCATGGTACAAAAAGTTGTAGTAGAAACATCCTTAGTAGGATCAACTACACCTAGGAGATGGTGGGGTACCCCGCAATGCTCTTCCTTGGTGATTTTGTTTGTGACTATGTCTAATCCTTCGTAAACCTGCATTTTGTCTGAATTTACTATCTCGGCTGGGAAACGTGTGGCCAGGTCGATGGACAGCCGAGACTTCCCCGTCCCAGTTGCTCCCATCACGACAACCACCTTCTCCTTCTGCGGCCAACGACATATGCCTTTCATATCGATCCTGCCATTCATATCGATCCCACTAGTTGGAATGTGCAGCAAAGGACTAGTTTGTTTGCAAATAGACATAGACATAGACATAGACATAGACATTGACATTGACATTGACATTGACATTCTCATTTTATTATCAAGAACTAGTATACGAGAATAGTGAGACCAGAAAAGTTAGAAACTTATGGTATATAATGGAATTCAAAAGAGTATGGGCCCGTCTTGCGACTGACCGTAAAACGGTCTCGTGTGTCCACGGGATAAATCCTATTTGTAATGGATGGTGTCGTGGGATCGACTCAAAAGGTGTAAGAAGCTTTAAGATGGAGGAAATGTAAGAAATGAATGCCTTCAAATGAAAGAATTGGTGAGTATTTATTGAGGAAGTGAGGACAAGACAGCCATTTGCTTGTTCAACTTAATGATAGTCAACTACAAGTTGCTAAATGGTCTTAGAAGGAACCCAAAAAAGTTCTTTAGTTTTTTTGTACAGAGTACTCTTTATTGAGTGGAAAGGTTTTATGTTGCACCCATTTATATATGTTTATGTATATAAACCAGTCGTGCGTTAGTCGACTCTGAATTTATAGAGAAGAATCGAATAAGATTTAGTTTATCGTAGATGCATAAAAATGTCTTTTCCTGATGTTTTAAAGAAGCAATGGGCGCAAGAGGTTCTAATTTTGGTGTTGGGGGTGGGGTGGTGAGTGGAATTTTCAATCGGTGATAGTACAAGAAATGAAAGAGGGATATATTTAACTTCATTAAAGCCAAAACCTACTAGTTTATGTCTCTCATTATTTATTTTCTTTTTCAGTACATATCAACTTTTAATTTAATTATCGAGCAAGATAATATAAATAACTTATTGTGATTTTTTTTTGCTTGATCATGAATTTGTTTTTAGCTCATCTAGTGCCTTACAAAATTTTATGTACGTGTTTGGTACGCAGTATTGATTGTGACTTTATTTTTAGAATGATTAAGAAAAGATAGAAAAGAAAGGTAATCATAAATAATTTCTGTTTAGGGATTGGAATAACATCACTTTCTTTCTCCTCAACTTAAATGTTGACTAAGGTTGTCCATATGAAAACAAATGATTCTCATAAAGAATGATGCTCTTGGATGGGGCAATAATGGGGATGGAGGGAGGTGACGGGGTGGTGTGACACATAGTGATTGGGTGTTGTGTTTTTTTTTCTCAAACCGTCCACCCATGTATTGATACGTGCCATCAAAGTAATGAAAGGCACTTTATTTCCAAGTATCATTCCTTAAATATTTTGATTTTACTTTGATTGTCAGTTATTGATTCTAGAAATCTTAACATTCAACTTAATGATGATGGTCACCAAAGTAATGCTAGATGCCCAGAGTAAGCACTATCTCGATCATCAGAGTGAAAGTGAGGGAGGATCCCCGCCTTTTATGAGGTATCGAAGTCATAGCAAAGTTTCATCTAAAACCGAATTTTATATCGATCTATTAATCTTTTTAATTGAAATATTTCAACTAGTTATTTGACACAAATATTACAATTAACATAAGTTTCTCTCAGAGAATTGCCAAAAAAATAAAAATTACATATGATGTATAAAAAGAAATTATGTAATCTCTTTACATATGAAATGCTTCACATTCCAAGTTTATGCATCATCCTTATCCCACTCTAAAGTAGAAGCAATTTTGAATTTCCCTGCACTTAAAAACAGTGTTTGTAAATCAAATCAATTCTTAGTTAATCAATAAACCTTAAAAGCTTGTTAGGTACATATTTTTTCAAGGAAAAATGATTTTTTTTAAGAATATGTGGTTAAAAAGTGGGTAAAATAGTGGATCCAATACAATGTTTAGTTGAAAATGATTTTTGAGAAAATAATTTTGAAAAATCTTTGACAAACAAGGTTTTAGTGAGCCTAAGCCAAGTCAAGTTTGAATGATTCATATAACAAATTTGGAGAAAATTTATTGAAAATGACATGAGAAATGATTGGAGCAATCCAACTTCCACAATCTTGAAACAAGAAAAGAGAATTTATTTTCTGACTTTTAAGCTTAGCCAAATTTGCTATAATTTAACCCCTCTTTAGTGTAGCTAAAAATTAACTTTTTAGTAAATTTTGATATAAATTGATGAAATATACTATTGAAAAATTGATAAAAATTTTTGGATCCTATAAAATGTATGGTTAAAAAAAATTATTGACTTTTTAAATATTTATCAACTCTTAAGCTATATCATACAGAGACTTGATCATAATATGAGCCGTCATGATGTCGGCACCTATACAAATTTTTATAGAAGAAAATTTTCAATAACCCATCATTAAACGCATGAAAATGAGCCTTTTGGGGTCAAATCCACTTATAAAATGACTATTGAAATTTGATTTTGAATTCTTGATTAAATCTTACACTATCTTATATGATCCCATCATGAGTTGCCCTAGATTACATCGTATCACAATCTGAGTCAGCTGAAATGAAACGAGTTAGACAATTGGCTTATGCAACAATGGAGTTGGAAGTGAATGGCCATAACACAATTTTGACTTTTACTTCAAAATTCTTAGGGGAGAGATTTCTTGTGGATTTCAAGTCTTGCCTATGTACAATGAGCTTTTAATGTGTCTTTCTTATCAGCAAAAGCTTGTTTAAGTCTACATAAAAGATGTCCTAATCACTTTAGTTGTCATTTTCGTAATTTACCCTCATGTATCACTTTCACTTGACAACAGACGTTCTCATTTCTTATCCATTTTGGTATGCATACACATCTATCTAACGTTTTCAAATCTGCTTATTCATCTTATAGACATCTTGTACTTCAGTATCATAAAGCACGCCATAAAGGAGTCAAACGTTTTAGATGAGAATAAGTACATTATCTGGCCTTGGAGGGCTATAAACTTGATATTTAGGTAGAGTTTGGCAAGATTAGGACCCAAATCCTATCACCACTGATTTGATACAAGGGTTTTGGATATGCATCAAAAATCATGTTTGGCCAAGTTTGTAAGTTACTTCAGAAAAAGTGGCCTGACTTCTAGATCCATTTAAGCTTAGCAAAACACGCTTGAACTGACTGCTAAAGTTCTACCAAATTCTACTACATCACCTCTCAACAGATTCTCGTTTTAGATAGGCTAGAACGTTATCCTCAATTAGTACAACGACCAACATCTTTTGGTGATCCTTTTAAAGATATCATCTGTGCAGTGCGCCGGACCACACTGTGGTATCTTGAACTATAAGGGACCGTGTATCAGACAGATCTTTGAACACCAGGGCAGAAAGTTGGTCGAGGTAACATTGGTCCCTGTTTTTCCTAATGTTAAAAGTAGTTGGGTTCCTTCTGTCCACTATTTTATGTGTTTTTAGGATTTGTTCTTTTATTGTTGATATTCGCAAGTCGAGCAGGTTAATGTTTTGCTGGTTTTCCCTTCTGGTACCAGCAACAAGCACCAATACTTCGATCTTATGTTATTCTGTGTACAAAAAGTTGTTTGCAGCCATGACTTATCAGCCAACATAATAGACACCGCTTAGCAGGAAAGAAATGATACCTAAAAGATATCACAGGCATCTAATAACCAAAGCAGTTTTACATCAGAATCACATTGTGACGCCCCGAGTCTTAAATTCTCGAGCGTCACTAAAATAACAATAAAAGACTAATCATTAAAGCTGTTAATAACAATAAACTAATCTGTTCAAAACAAAGTCACGGATTCAATAAATTTTGACATAAAACGAAATGAAGTTTGATGATAATCACTTGAGAGCTATGCTATTTGTATTACCAAATGTTGACACGCAGATTGACATACACTCACAATGGGGAGTCCACTTTTTTTTTTGGAACTTTTTAAGCATGCGAACCCCGCACGCATGTGAGAGGTTGTCAACCTCTTATGTACAAATAGACTTATTTAACCCATGTTTGATCCTCGTTATGTAAATACTTATTTTTTCTTGAACTCATTTTCCAATCACATTCTGATAATGAAATATTTTGCACTTATTTTCTACTTTTTAATCATATGTTCTCCAAAAATTCACTATTAAAAAACTCATTTTCAACAAAAAAAAAGTGGAGGGCTCAAACGTAGGCTTAATAAATCCCGTTCGTAAGCCATCTCCTCGCTTAACGTCCTCAAACTGCTAGTTTCCTCAGAGAAAAGGAGGGGTGAGATATTAGTCGGTGTATACTGTAAATTTGTAAATCATAATAAAATTTTGGAAATTTCTGCGAAAGCCATAGGCATACAAAAAGTCCTCTGCTATGCAATAGTTAAGTGGCTGCTGAGGGATTGACCTCAAAACAACTTTCCCATCATCTATTCAAGAGGCTCGAGAAGCATCTGCTCATGAACGAAATAGTTGCTTTTAGAGCAGTGAAATGGCCCCATCAGCAATCTAGTAATCTTTTGATGCGCGATTTCTAGTACCTCGAGGAGTACAAAAAGACTTGAAGTTGGTTCACCTCACAGTTTGCTTCGACTCAATATGCGACACTGAGAGGAATATGGTACTATCACTCATTTATTATCATATGTTTCGTTAGATTCATTATTATTCCTCTTATTATTTCTCAGATTTATGAATTTGCGAAATCTTTAATTGAGTCAAAATACAAAGTTTGGGGTATTTGGCGCGAAGTCCAAATGTTTCTAACGTTGGTGTCTTGACTAGGACTTCCCTAACCTATGTATTTAATATGTGGTTGATCGTATTATAAAGAAAAAGAACTATATACCCTAAATTTTAATTAAAAGAATTATAGTTCCTAACATTTATAAAAAGTACAAATAAATTTTGATCCTTTATTTAATATCAACAGTAAATAAAATATATAAAATTTAAATAGGTAAATTTGCATTTGGAGTCCTTACATTTTCTATCAAAAAGTGCAAATAGATTTTGAACTTTTCATTTTTGGCAGCACAATCCCTATGTTTGAAAAAATATGCAGTTGAGGACCTTTAGACGGTTTTCGCCAAATAATTCTTTAATTCGAAACTTGAGTGAATTTTGACCAGTTTTAAGAATGGCAAAACTGAAATTCCGCATTTTTCTCATTTAAAAGAGTTAAAATAATTTAAAACATAATCAACAAAAGATAAACAATAGAAAAAGAAAAAATGTATGCCAAGGCCTTCATAATGCAATCATAATGCCGATTGTCGGCACCATCTCCACCATTCTCGTCGCCACCATCTTCCTCCCCATAGCACCTTCTCCCCAATGACACCAATCACATTCGTCACCCCTCTGTAACCACCAAAACCTCGATGGAAAACCACCACGGTTTGGTCAGGAACGCACAACCAAGTCTAGTTGTGTGAAAAATCAAGTTCCTTGGTTTTCGCTACCCCCACCATTGGGAAAAATCAAAGGTAGAGGATCTCTCCCTAGTTTTAAGAATGGCAAAACTGAAATTCCTCATTTTTCTCATTTAAAAGAGTTAAAATAATTTAAAACATAATCAACAAAAGATAAAAAATAGAAAAAGAAAAAAAATGTATGCCACGACTTTCATAATGCGGTCATAATGCTGACTGTCGGCACTATCTCCACCATTCTCATTGCCACCAGCTTGCCTCTCCATAAAATCTCCTCCCCAATGACAACAATCACATTCGTCATGCCTCTGTAACCACCAAACCCTTGATGGAAAACCACCACGGGTTCGTCAAAAACGCACAACCAAGTCTAGTTGTGCGAAAAATCAAGCCCCTTGGTTTTCTAAATTGCTTTTAAGTGAGAAAAATGTTGAAATCCTTTTTTTCCCTTCTCAAAAATGGTTAATTTTAGTCAAATTTTAAATTAATCATTCAAATCATCTGCTTATTTTTTTCAAACATTAGGGACTATACTGCCAAAAAATAAGTTTTAGGATTGATTTGTACTTCTTGAAAAGGTAGAGGATCCAAACTGCAATTTTCCTAATGAAAATTTATTTCTAGCCTGTGATGCAGTTTACTATACGGATATTTGATGTTTATAAGCCAGGGTTAAATCCACCAAAGACTATTCAACTTTACATTTAGTGTCACTATGATCATCAAATTTGATTTTGTTTCATCATGATAATCCAATTTTATACTTAGTGTTCTCATGATCATTCAATTTGATTTTATTTCATCATGACCATCTAATTTCATATAATATTTTACCAAAATCACTCAATTTCATATTTTAAAAGTGATAAAACGGTAACATTTTATCATGGCAACACAACTTCTTTTCATTAATTTTAAAAGTAATAAAACAGTAAATTTGCATTATATATATATAAAATAAAATTTTTAAAAAATAAAAACTTATTTTAAAAAATATTAATTTTAAATAATAAAATAAAAAATATTTTAAAAAAAGTTATTTAGAAAAATGAAATAAAATAAAATTTTTTTTAAAAATGAAATAAAAATTTATTTTTAAAAAGTTACATAGAAAAATAAAATAAAATGTTAATGAAAAAAAAAATAAAAACTTATTTTAAAATAAACATTTTTCAAATTAAAAAAAATCGTTTTTTAAAAAATATATTTTTTATATATAATACAAATTTACTGTTTTACCCCTTCTAAAATTGGTGAAAATGGTAAAAAGAAATTAAGTGTTCATGATGAAATATTATATGAAATGAGATAGTCATAATGAAGCTTTATATAAAATTGAGTGATCATGATGTAATAAAATCAAATTAGTTGGATATGATGATATTAAAATATAAAATTGGATATTATGATGGCACTTACTATAAAATTGGATGGTCGTATATACAATTTTTTTTGAAAACATCTCCTCTCCAACTTTACCAATCTCGTCCGTGCGATTCAAGAAAAAATCCCATTAAGAAATACCTCGAGAAATTGAGCAATGATTCCCACAGGGTTTTCTTAGAGTTTTTTCTTCAAATCCATACAATCTGTCATCAATTACAGTAAGTTTCCATTTTCTTGAAAATTCCCCAGATTTGTTTATTTTTCCCCTTTCTTTGAGTTAATATTATCAAAATTGTTGCAGGATTCATGCCTTTAAGCATCAAACAGAGAGATTGGTAAACAAATTGAAAAGATCCGTAGAATATGCAGAAGAAAAACTCGAAGACATTGAAGAAATAGGGAAAGAACTTTTGCAGAACTTGAAATAGATTCATAATTCATTGAGTTCCATTGATGTCCGAACTCAACATGTGGCAGAGACATGGAAAATGTAGAAAACCATGTAAATGTTGTGAAGAAGTATACAGAGGTAATCCATGAACAATCCAAGGGATTAGCAGCTTTACAATTAGAGTTAAGTGAATGTCAAAAGAAAATGAAGGAGAAGCTGGATGAAGGGATATCAATGCTTCATGATTCTTATGACAAATTGGGCATTGAAATTAATAACTTGAGGGATGAAACAGTTGAAATAGAGAAGGAGATTGGAAAAGTTGGAGAGGAGACGTTTTCAAAAATTTTATTGTCAAATTTGCGATATAGGTTATCAAGGTTCAAGCTTCAACTATTTTGGTCCATAAGTTCCAATTAAAATGCAAAAGGTTCTTCAGTGACCATTTCTGAAACCACACGATACTTCAGTGACCGTTAGTACAAGTTTTAAACTTTAGTGACCGTTTTGTGATTTTAATGTAACTTCAGTGACCGTTTGTGAAATTAACCCATTTTAACCTACCAGCATATATGTTCGTCGTAGACCAAAATCGCATATTCCATTATCCTAAACGTTTTTCTGTGTATTTGGTCGTCTTCTTCAACCTTAATTCTCAGATTTTCCGACACGGCGACACTCCTCTTTCTCTCTCTAACCTCAGATCTCAAATTTCAGAAAACACCTACCTTCATTGAATTAATCATGGCGAATTCTAATATTCTTCAGACGGAGCAAGATCTTTTTATGTTCTCGTCTCTATTTCACGATTCCAAAGGTTCAATTTTTATATTTCCTTTCTTAATTTTTCTTTTCTGAATAATTGATTTATGCTTGTACATTAATTCTTTCCGCCTATGTTGTGTATCCTTTACTCTCTCACTCATTCAGTTTTTTTATGCTGTTAATATATTTTGGGGCATTCTGGAGTATCTTAATGCTAATATTTTTGGTAAAAGCCAGTGGATCACAGCTAGAAAATGGTTGCAGGTGAAAATGTTAAATCTCGGGAAACGGAGATTGAGAAAAAGATCGAATTTCTCGAGAGCTTGACTGGAAAAGTAATCTCTCAATTCTCTCTTTTCTCAGAAGGGTTCAATTTGTTAAAATGACAATCTAAGGTTTTCTTTTTTGTAAAAATGATTAAATGTAGCTCAACAACAAAACCAAACCAAGTCTTATGGGAAGATCTATTGGATCTTAGCAACCCCTTTATTGAATCTTGTTACTCTTACGAACTTGAGCTCCTTTAGGACTATGTGAAACCTATCATAGTTGTCACTGATGCTAAATGCCTGGCTACAGATCAGCAATAGGAGATCTCGTAGATGGGTAAATGATCGTTTGTTGATGGAGCTTGTCCCCCCTTTGAATGCAGATGAAATCAGAGGATTGTTTGCTCCACCACCATGGGGTAAGTTGTGTTTCGGAAAGACATCGTTTTCTTCTAATCACAAGTATGAAGGGAAACAAGATACTGTTGAAATGTACTCGTGACTTTAGGCAAAAACTTTTTCGTGTCAAAGAAAAATACAAGACTAAGAGAGGCTTCTAATATTGTTTATACTAAGAAGGAAAGTTTTCTAGATATCTTTTAGCAAATATGTAATTTTCGTGGTGCCAACAACTCTTTATATTACCCAGTCAACGAGACGTAATCATGATGCCATCTCCAATTTAGTGTTTGTTTGATTTTTATTTTTATTTTTTTTGGGAATGTGCGGTTGAAAATGAATGGGGGAAATTTAGACTATATCAGCAAAAATGGGGGAGAGAAGTGAATCTCAAATAATTATAATCAAACAAGGGCTTAGTCTCATTTTTCGACCAACCAGTTATTATTGTAAAACACGTTATAAGTAATTTCTTTATCACCTAAATTAGTTAACCTTGTACTCTCATAATGTATTTGATTCAAGATGTTGCAACTTAAGTCCCCCAAAGTTATTGATTTGGAAATTTAATCAAATTGTATAAGTAGACAGAACAAAAAGCATTTTTACTTCGTGGGTGGTTGGCATCTGGGACTTAAATGAGTAGTATATTGTTTTTTGAGGTGTAATATATAAATGTGAAATGAGTAGTCTATATTGTTTTATAAGGTGTAATATTTAAATGTGAAATATTAATTGAATCATAAGTCTATAAATACGTTTGTGCACTATATAGACAGAACTTGTATACATTTATATGTTACATATTAATCGTAATAGACATAAACTTCTGAATTATGAATGACAAGATGGATGACCGTTTATGGTAAAAGAAAGTCTTGTTCTCGTGGACACGAGTGTGTTCCTATACAGTTATTCACGCCAGTGAATAGCCCTTAATTGCCATGCTTTCTATTAATTTTTTTTTTTTTTTTTAAGCAAAGACATCCACACATCTATAATGAGTTTTTAATGCTCCACTAATGAAGGTTAATGGGGGTTATGGATTTAACCCCAACCATACATAGACATCCACACATCTCTAGTGGGTTTTTATGCTCCACTAAGGAAGGTCAATGGGGGTTAAGGATTTAACCCCAACCATATGTATATAATAAAATAGGCCAGTGTACATGAAAGAAGGGGGCATAAACCTAACTTCCTGAATGCAACGTAGCAACAACTGTCAAAAAATAAATGGAAAGTAATAAATGAGCAAGTACTAGTTCCCATACAAAGAATGTAAATGCAAATGAAAACTAGTCTATAAACCTCTAAAGTTGGGCAGTCCATGTCTGTCTATTTGTACAAGTGCCCTAATTTGTCCAGACCCTTACTTGAACCTGATTTGTTTAGTTTTACAGGTGATGATGTGCCACTTTCACCATTTTGCATGGCAAATGTGGGAGAGTGGGACAAGTTCAGGAATATAGACATGGACAAGCAGGTTCTCTCTTTTCTTTTTTGCTAAAGCATATAGTGTGTAGTCTTGAAACTGTTGGAATACTTTTCAGAATGCACTTCACTATAGTCTGAAAATTTTTAGTGCTATCGAACTGCTGCTCCTCTGGATTTTATAGATTGTGATATTGCACCATCCCATTTGTGCATCTCTACTGCAGCATTTCCTTTAGAATATTTAGTTTATGATGGAGGTTAACAGAGTCTCTAAAACGATTCTTGAAAAGTTTATTTGTTGAATGGAGAATTCTTGTTCATGCAGATGCTTATTGAGGAAGCAAAAACATGGTTATCTTGAGGAACTAATAAGTGCTTTTTGCACCTTCCGAACTTCATTTTGTTGCAAGATACATAAAATTAGTTTACTGTATGCTCAGAAGGGAAATTTAGTGTATCTTCGCAGGACATGTATTACCATGAGCTTCAATTGCTTAAAACTATATAGATGTTCTTTTAGTTCTCCTTTTTCCAATTGTGGCAACTTAACATGTCAATATCTATATTGCTGTTACAATTTGGCATGTGGCATGAGGTCATGCTTATATTCTCTAAGATCTTTGTTTGGTTCTTCTAGGATTCTATTATAGCGTCCCTCGAAGACTCGTCTGGAGAGCGGAGAAGCCATTTAGATGCTGATAAAGTTGCTGTACTGACCGCATGGCATAGGGTTGATTGTAGAACGAGAGATGCACTTCGTCGTTCGTTTCTTTCAGAATTGATTAATAGCTATGAGGTACTTGAAATTTATCGCAAGACAATATCCGTGCTTCTATTGTTCTACTTCTCATAATTAGGAATTAAATGTTGAGAAATCATGAAAATAATCTGGTGAAATAATGAATTTTTCTTCTTGTATATTGTTCTCACTTTGTTTCCCTAGTAACATTGTTATTACGTTTTTCAGGAACGTGTACGATCGTTCATCAAGGGGAGTCAGGATGGAGATGTTCTTGTGCTACAAGTTCAAGATCCTTTCCATCGGTTACTACTGCATGGTGTTTGTGAGGTATATCTTCCAATTCAATTTTTTTATGTTAAAACCCAGCCCCAAGGGCAGAAATTGATCATTGCGGCCAACATTTTCAGTTATTCTGAGTATTTTTTATCTGTTTAGCACTTATTTTGTATATGACCACAAGGATACCATTTCCTCCTCTATATCTGGTCTGTGCTAAAAAAGTCTAAAAAAGTTGACTTATAAGTTTCAAAGTATATAACTTCATCTTTTTTTACTCAAAAGGAAAAAAATAATACATCCAATGATCCTTTTGAAATGACTTTCTTTTTGCAACTTCTTCTAAAAGTTTTCTGAACTTCAAAAAAATTATCTAAAACATGTGCAAAAACAGAGTCTTAGTCTTAGAAGCAGCTTTTGGCTTCTTAAACCCTGGCAAACGGGTCCCAAATATGTTTTGAAACATAAAAATTACTTAACAAGTATATTTATACTTAGCTAATCATTCAACAAGTTTTATGTTCAATATGCTGATCTCCACAAAAATTTTCTACCCGAGGTCTTGTTGGCGGAGCAGGGGCAGGGAATTGGTGTCTTTGAAATGGTTATAGTAGATGAGAATTCGATTTTTTTTTTTTTTTTCAAATGCCTGACTAAATTGCCTTTTCGACAGTTCTACAATTTGTGCTCAACAACGGTCACCCAATTAGAGGGTTTCAACTCCTTGAAGATGACTAAGATATACAAGAAGAAAGTAAGTGCAGCCGAGCTTCCAAACATCACTCTCTGCAACTTTCTGAAGATGGCCAAAGAAGGGTTTTGGTGATTCATTTTGCAATAATTCAACCAATGTACTCGAAAAGTAGCGTTGTCATAATTCATTTTGCCATAATTCATTTAGAAACCTGTGCATTATCTTAATTTACTCGAAAAGATTTGGCAACTTTGCCATTTGACACTCGAAATAATACCTCAATGCGCCAAGTTTAAAATGTTCTTAGCGTTGAAACGTCTCGTTTCTTCGTGCAGAGCACTTGTTCGATGACCTACGGGTTTTGAACTTTCGAATTAGTTTCAGAATTTACTGTAATTATTCTTTAAATGATGTCAATTGCTATATTAGGAACTTATTTGGCATTTTGCCTTCAGTTTTCCTTGTTTATGTTGGATTGCGAAAATGCTTGTACAAGTTGCGAATACTTCAACGTATTTATGGTAAAAAAATAAGTTATTTTTAATGCATTCAAATTTTCTATTATAAAGCTCTCTTTAAATTATCTTTCGTTGAAAATCAATCGACGACAAGCGACAATGGTTTACTTAGGATTGTTTACTTCTATTATACTCTTCAGCTATAAAATAATTTAAAAATATTCTTTATTGTTCATTATTTTCTTCATCTACGCAACCTTTAAGGGTAGTCGTTAATGTTATACGTATCGTATTGGTCATTCTGTTATCTTAACTAACATCATATCCAGCATAGTAATAGTTAAGAGCTTGTTTGGTAGAGATTAAAATTGAAAAACTAACCGTTATTGTTGACTTTTATTAGACGAGTGAGGCCTAATAACGGTAATATTTTCAATTTTAATTGGATTAAAATTCCTCCCAAACAAGCTGCAAATCTTCCCGTGGAGTGACGATCGTTAAAGCAATAAGTTCATTTCAATTGACCTTCTGTTTATACTTTGTCGTTGCATTGTTACTAAGGATTAAAAGTAGGGTTAGGATTAAAAAAGGGATTCGGAATTTTTGGCGGCGTACGAGGTTTTATTTTCTTAAGAATCACAACATAAGCACAATGATTATTAGTTGACATTCAGGTTTAATCTCATTAAAGAATTGATCGGTAATGTAATTTCATTTAACTTCATGATATAATCAAACTTTATTTTTATCCATAAGATTGGCTTAACTTTTATATACTTTCTATCCTCACATCCATGATAATTCACTACTTATAATCAATTACAATTATAAGCATTGTCAAACATGGCCTTAATAAATTTACTTAGAAGAATAATCTGACTCGGGCACCAACCAACCAAATGGGCACAAATTTCCCGGGCTTGGGCAACAAGGAAAGAAAACGAAGGAGCTTCGTGGAACCATCACCTTTCTACTTTTTACTCAGATTTTGTTGACCAGATTTGGATGTGGATATTTGTTTCACTCTCCACCTAAAATTCACATTTTTTGAAGTCAATAATACCTGTAATCTTCTTCTTCACCTTACAGGCTTACACTATGGCCAAGAAGCCCGTGAAGTACTGTGTGGTAATCTCTCGTTTTATAAGTATTTGGGATTTTAAAATTATGAAAATGCCAATTTTGAAATTTGAAATGTTCATTTGAGCTTTAGATGCACACAGTTGATCGTTTGATATTATTTTAAGTCTTGGGATTCGATTTAACAGGTCAATTTGGATAAGAAGAGTAGTTCAAGTTCTTGTTTTGATTATTGTTTTCATATTCGAGGGATGCAAGATTTTACATTCGGTTACGATATAATTTAGTGGGGTATTAAAGTTTGGATGAATTAAAATAAACAGGTGGATGCATTTACTGACGAGGCATTCAAGGGGAACCCGGCGGCAGTGTGCTTGCTGGAGGAGGAGATGTTGGAGAATTCCAACATATATG